TTCTCTCGATGAAATGGGACAATCGCACGTCGCACCTTTCACTTTGACAGAGCAACAGAATTGGCTAGGTCTGGGTAGAAGCGGGTTGGGACAGTCTTACGTACCAACACATTCCTTATCTTTCAGCTAAGCAGGAGCAATCCACCCCAGAGCCCGCTTCCACCCAGACCCTGCCAGTTGCACCTCACAATTCGGGAAGTCTGCATGGTCTGCTGCCTTTGGCAAACAGTCACATGACTTCATTTGCTTCGTGTGGATCACTGAGTGGGTCAAAGACCATGGCCGGCAGGCTGGGGACATGTTCAGAGACAATTCCCTGACTAGGCCCACTAGGCTCCTGAGGCTCCTTTGCACCCCCCTTCCGTCTTCGAGGTTTTTGCTTCACGAGGAAATCCAGCTGTTGGCTTTGTTCTTGGAGCCTTCGCTCTAAGGCAGCCTGTCGCTGCAAAAGCTCTGACAGCATCTTGCTTGTATCGGGCTGTTCCTCTCGTGTGAGAGCAGCCGAATCACCCGAAGCCAGCAAAGCATTGCCGTCGTCTTCATTTTCGGCTGCATCCAAGACGGTGTTCCTGGTGGATTTCTTCTTGGAGTCAAGCTTCCCCATCTCCAGCAATGCTTTCTTCTGGTCTCCAGTATTCACATTGTGCCATCTCTTCTTTGCATTACGCGCCTTGTCTTCTGCTGCTGTTTTCGCAACTAAATCAGCCATCTCCTTTTTGTACTCTGGAAAATGCTTCCAAACAGTCTCAATGTCATGTCGAGACAAGGAGGCCAGCAGAGCATAGGAGTCTGCCCGAATCCAGGCTGTTCGCACACAGTCATTGATTAAAGCGACTTCCCCAAAGAAGTCCCCGAGTTTCAGGGTCTTCACCTTCTTTGCATATGTCACATCTGTCTTGTACTGAACATCAGGTATCAGCACGGATAAGAGCCCTCTGGCTATGAAGAACATCTGGTAGGCAATCGCACCACGGCGAGCCACATACTCTCCTGGAAGACAAACAACATCTTCTAGTACTTTCACCACCTCAATGATGTAGTTGGAATCCTTATTGGCCAAGTATGCGCAGGACAGAACCGATTCCTGATAAAGGTGGATCTTGAGGGCTGACGAAAGAGCGCCACTCAGGGTTTTGCCATCGAAGAGAATCTGAAATGCCTCGACGTCATGACTCATCTTTTGGAAATAATGCATGCTGAATACTCTCCTTTGCAGTTCCTTGGGAATGCCCAGGATCTGAACAGCACGTTGTATGAAGGCTTTGTTTTCATTGTGGCGGCGATCCAGTGCATTCTTCAAGTCTTGCTCCTGAAGGATGGCTGAAATGAAGAGCGACACCACCAACTGCCCAATTGGCGCAAAAATCACCACAATGATCAACGCCCCAAAATTGCCATCTCTAGCGCCATCACCCGTGGGCCCATCTAGCGCTCCAGTCAGCATGTAGAGCGCCTCCAAAATTTATCAGTTGCCCAAAACACTTCTTTTTCTGGAGTGGGGGGAAAGTGGAACCCGCAACGGCTGCAGTGAGAAGGTGTGAGTGTGAAATGGGTTTGTGTTGCAGTGTGTCGGTGCCAGATGTTTTTTCGATTCTTGGATCACATCAGTGTACATTGGACACAAGCCTCAAAAAAAGACGATGGGGTGAGGATAGCTCGAAGTCAGGCGACTCCACCTTCTTGATTTGCCTTCTGCCAAGCGACATACATTATCTTCTCTTGAAGTGTGCAACATGTTCATACTGCAGCTTGTGTGGAATATAGATCATGAAGTGGGCAGGAGTCACTATTCCTGCCAGTGGTGTCCTTTTGGGAAGAATAGATGGGTCGGTTACGGTTTGGTACCATTTACCTATTGGTTGTACACTTGAGGGTATCCTCTCTATCAATCAACACACTAATAGTAAAAGGCCATCTATGATTCCTGCAGTATTTAAGCTTGCTTTGAATTGAATCATTCAACGTACCGGATCCACTATCTATGTCTCGTGTCTGATACTGGCTTAGTTCTACTTAAATCAGGTCATCAAACCGACTCAAAATCCAGAAAGAGCCCCATTTGCCTCGACGTAGGCGACCACGTAGGAGGAGATCCTTCCATCAATGACTACCCCGCGAAATGTGGTCTCTGATGCTTCTGCGCCATGTTGCTGCATATACTCCAAATATCCACCAAAGGCAAAGAGGCCTGAGGCCACCCAGTGGGCAATTCCCATGAGCAGCAGAATGGGCTTTGCAAGTCGTACTTCACTTGTATCCCTCAAGCGCCACAGGGAATCGGGCAGAACGATAAAGACTCCACCACGGATCATTTTCAAGACATTGATGAACAGTGGGGCGTCAAAGAGCGTCACCCAAATGTATGAAGTCACACTGAGCCATTTCAGCCAATAGAGTGGCGAGATAAATTTGCTTTTAATTACTCTTCTTCGTGTGACAATCTCTGTACGCTGCTGGGGATGTAAGTAGGACATTTCCAGCATCAAGAGCAAATAGACCGCATAGAGAATGTCTAAGCATAAATCAAAGACTAGCAGGTCTCGTCCTCCTGGAACAGAGGAAACATCGGCCCAACGGCCATCCCATAAAAAGGTCAAGGGAGCTATCACCATTGTCATGCTGACATTCAACAACATCAGAACATCAATGAAGCACGCGAAATCGGAGTCGAAAATCTCGATGCAAACCTTTCTCTCTCCAGACTTTTTTGGACCATCTTGATCATTCAAGACCAGCTCCTTCATGTCCAGAAACCTGTCTGCTCCTCCTTTGTCTCTGTCATAGAGGCTTTGAGTGATTTTGTCGATAGTTCGGAACTTGAACTTTGGCCGCCAGAATGCCAGCTTCCTGTAAATTCTGTCCCTCAAAATCAGGAGGAGCAAATTCCGCCATTTGTCCTGACCTTCTTCCTGCTGTGAAGAGCTCTCCGCCATTGCACAAGCTTGGGCCAAGAAAGAAAATGATACCAAGCAATCGCCCTAAACAGCCGGAGGTAGCAACCTGTTCTGCTTTAGCTCTTGGTCTTCCTGAAAAATGAAAAAACAAAACTTGTTAATAATGGGTTTGCCATGATTTAGTTATGCTTGACGGCCCATTGAAATGGCTGCCATGATCCGAGGTCCAGCTTCGACGTGGCCTCTTTTGCCAAAGTCTGCGCTTCCTCGCTGGCCTCCTGGAGTGAGGGCAGTTGCAAGGCACCATGGGACGGGAGAGCTGCTGTGAAAAGCGAAGCCTTGCCAAACGAAAACATGATAGAACAGAAGACACATGAATGTTGTAAGTTTGGTCCAAGGCTCCAGGCGACTTCTTCAACAGGATTAAAAATGTTCGTTTTTGTAGAGCAAGAGATACGTTCTGCAGCTTGCGATTCAGTGTCCTGTAGAGATTCGACCTGCTTCTTCAGGTTCTCAGCCTGGTAAAGTTATACAAGGTGCTATGGTTTTCCCGCAACAACATCGTGTGCTGAGGTCACGAAACTCTTGGTGCCTGCTTTTTTCAAGGGACATCCAAGGCCACTTGGCCCACGAAGACTACAGTAGAAGAACGAAACTGGTTGACGCGCTTGCGCCTGTGTTTCAGCTCTGAACTGGGAACTCTTTGCAGCTTGCAACCTGAGAGTCCATGAGGTTCATGAGTCCATGAGGTCATCCGTTTCAGCGGAGCGTTTTTTCTGTTTTGGTCTGGGGCCGCTCCCGAGGCTCACGCTCAAACTGATACTTCCTCACCTGGGACCCCGATTCGTGTTCCGCTCCGAAACGTGTTCAAAACCCACTGAGAGCGTCCGATCGCTCCTAGTAGCGATGCCAGGAGCCCCTAGTAGCGTCCTAGTAGTAAGAGCGAACCCTTTCAAAGTGATGTTAGGCACTCTCACGCAAGATTGGAAAAATAGGATCACTGCCAGCGCTCGTAGAAGCAGCTCGGGATCATCTATATCATCGGGCAGCAAATCTTCTCTCCTTGAAAGCTTCCCTTTTTGAGAACAACGCAAGCGTGCGGCTGCATGAATCCAAATCACTTTCATTCGGGCTATTTGGCTGCGCTTGGCACATGTTCAGGGGATCACAAATAACTGCTCAAATCTCGGCTAAACCGTGTCTGCTATATTAATATATGCATTCAGCTCAGATCTGAGCCCTCCAGAGAACTTCTTCACAGTGTACCGAACAATGAGCGCTGTGAGGACCGGTGGTAACTGGCCGATGCTGATCCAGACATAGAGAGTTAGAGGGAGTAAGCAAGAGGCATAGAGGAGAGGAAGGTATGCTGAAAACTGAAGGTTTTACAAACAACAACTATGGCGCACATCGTCGGCACCTACCAAAGACATGGCTCCTACACAGGCGTTGGAGAAAAGGCAAAGCAGTTCAAAGTACCTCATTCCAACCAAGGACATCGCTACGTGCCTTACTACTAGCAATAAGAAGCTACTAGCAGCTCCCGGCATTACTACTAGTAGCAAAAAACTACTAGTAGCTATCTCCTTAAGGTTCACATCAGACCGCCCCAGTCAAGCATCTGCATCACGGATGCTCTGAGCTACTGTGAGTTGCTTGTCCAGTCCACTTGTCTAGAAGATACTGTCTTCACATTAAGAAAATTGACTGTAAGAACGGCATCTTGGCTTCAATCAACTTCTGAATTCTGCATTCCTCAGGGCATGGGCATGGATTTATGCTTCTTTGACACCACGTGAACCAGTAATACTTTTGTGGCACATCTGCCATGGTCGTGAAACGGCTGCGATTCTATGCAACTCTGACCAAGGCTTCTATCTATCTATCTATCTATATATATATATATATATACATGTGTATTATGTGTATATATATATATACATGGCAAATGAGGCAAATGAGTCAATCTTGACTGAAATGTTCCATGCTTTGATCTTGTTTTGGTCAGTGGCTCATTTCAGTCAAAACAGGAGTTAAACAAATGTCTATAATGTCTTTGCGTAATTCACAAAAGAAAGATGCAAAAGCCGCACAAGCCAGGCCCACCCCGGCAGTAGGTGCTCCCGGGCCAGTGGTCACGAGTTTGAGCTCATCACGCTCCCGGTAGACCTTTCGAGCGTCGAAGCTTGAGCTTGAGACCTGTTCTGTGCTCCGGTGTTCGGTGCTGCTCTCCGAGCGCAGCTCGCAGCTGGAACCAAAGTATATTAGAATATATATATATATGTGTGTGTGTGGATATTTTTATGGCTTTTACTATATTTATTATTGTTAATATTGTATTGTTTAAAGTATGTATTTTGTAGAAAAAGCGGTCAGGCAAACGAAGTCCCGAACCAAGTGCAAGCGAGGTCGAAGCGGAACGAACCGCAAACACGCGCCGGTTTTCCTCAAGCTTTGAGCCCACCCAGCTGAGGGCGGTACGAGTTGGTTCAAACCTGATCGCTCAGCGAGCGATTCACACGGGGAGGTATTCTTCATCTCAACCCGTTCGAAAAAGACACGTAGCTTTCTTGCCACGATTGGATGTCGTGCCTCAGGCACCAACCTCTCGGGTAGACCATGCGGTCCGGAGGGGTTCCTCCGGCTGCACAGTAGCAGCAGCCCTTCAGCACCAGCCGATTGGCTTCGCACAGCTGCTCCGTGATGTGACAATCACGGTGGTGCCAGCAGATGCCCTTCTTGGACAGGTAGATCTCGTGGTTGAAGGGACACTTTTCAGCATGGTCATCCATCTCGCGCTCCAGCGCGTGAATGAGAGACTGGGCATTGAGGGCGAGGTCGCTCAAGGCGAAGACCTCTTCCTGAGAGCGTGCCTGGGCAACCCTTGCCTCTCGGGCTGCTTCAAGGCTGTTGTTGGCTTCGAACTTGGAGATGCGTAGCTCATCTCTCAACTCACGAACTTGTTCTCGAAGCCTCTGACTCACGATGGGCTCATTCTTTTGGATGCCAATGTCATACTTGATGACAGGTTCAGCGCTTTTGCCGCCAAGGTAGCGGCCGAGGAGGAAAACTCCAGCCATGGCAATCAGCTGCAAAGCCAAGCAGCTGAGAATCCAGAACCAAAGAACTTGATCTTCTTCTCGATTCGGCTGCCCTGCACAGGTGTCCTGGGCAGCAGTCAAAGTCGGCGCCATCAGCGCCAGCAGCAGCAAGACATACTTCATGCGACTGTGGAAGTCATAGTCCTTGCGGCTTGCGACATGGCTAGAGAGAAGCACATACTCAAGAGGCTTGACATACTTGGCCACAAACGCATACTGTGTGGCGTGTTCATTCTTTGAGTGGTGCTCATTCGGTGGCATGTGCAAGTTCTCATGGGCTTCAAAGGGGTCAGGCATGTCCTCGGTAGCCTGAAGGTGCTCATCTTCATAGGTGTGCACATTCTTTTGCTTGTGGGCCTCTGGAGTGCTTTCTGCTATTGCAGCGGCACGTTGCCCTTTTGTTTTCCGCTTTGCTGCCTGGTATGTTGGATCCCAGGTCATCTTCAATCTTCCATGACGTAGTCGGGCGGAAAGAAGGACACGAGCACTGGTCTTTGTCAGACCGTCTGCAATTTGTCTTTCTGAAGACATCCAGCGAAGACTGCCGTTGAGCTCCGTGACGCGCTCCTTCATCACACGGATTTCCAAGCTAACCCGTTTGTCGACCACAGAGGAATTGATGCCTTCTCTGTGAAAGGAATCATACAGAGCTTTGGCGTCTGTCACCAGGATGGGCTTGAGGCTGGAGGGCATTTGGATGAGGTTCTTCAACGTGATCTTGGGGTCCATCAAATGCTCCCAGTAGCGGCAGGTGAAGTCGACCGCATCAGCAGCTTGCCCACCTGATTGTGCCTCTGCAGCCAAAGAGCTGCGAGCCACCCTTGGCGTTCGAAAACTCCGCCAATCCACAATGTGGTACTCCCCTTCTTCTGGTGAGTTGACCAACTTCTTGTTCGTCAACATGGAGATGTAGCCACCCTGAGAATTGCCGTCCGTGCGGCTTGCAAAACCAGCATCAAAGAAAGTTACCAGTTGTAGCTCTGAGGGGTGACCAATGTAGTTGTACAACAAACCAACATCTTTGTTGTCCTTACTGAAGCGCAGGAGCTGGTTGCATTCATGCAAAGTCTGCACGGTGGCCTTCGTGATCTGGCATGAGAGCATGGATGTGGAGCACTGCAAGTGTGGTGAACTCTGAACTGCGGGCCATTGCAAGGAACCAAGTAGGCCACGAACTTGTGTGATTTCTCTTTCATGCAGTGACTCTGACATGGCTCTCTTCTTGTCGAAGGTGATGGGCGAGATCTTGGACATGTAGTTGCCCTGACGCAGCTTCCGGCCTCCTTCTGGTGTAGACTGTAGCTCACAGCCACAGTACTCGAGAGTCTCAAGGTCTTCCTTCCACTCCCGGAAGGAGAAGTTGTTCTTCAGGTCCTTGATGACCTCCTGGTAGCGAGGAGACAAGGTGCAGCCACTGCCCAACATATCGTCAACATGCATGATCACCATTCCGACCAAACGTTCCGGTCCAAGGCTGCTCACCTGTTGGTGTACCTCATCTTTCTCATCGTAGGTCTTGCTGTCGGTCTCATAGATGAGGAAGCAGCAGGGGTCCAGTGGATGTTGGCGTAGACCAGCACGGAGAAGTCTGTCCACTGCTTCAAGGAACCATCCTCTGCCCGTAGCAGGGTTTGAACAACAGCATTCTGGAATCCTCATCAGCGCCCAGGAGTTGGGTGCATTCGGCGGGAAGCTTGACCCACAGTTTGCGAGTCTGTGGTCGGCCTTGTAGAAAAGCCGTGGACACGTCAGCCGTCCAAGTGTTCCACTTCATGTTGGCGGCCAGGGACAAGATCATGCTGCGGCTCAAACGTGTTGTGGTAGGACTGGATGTGGCCACAGTACCCTCAAGTGCATCGGGGTCGTTGTATCCTCGCACGATCAAGCGAGCTTTGGCCCGTGGACTGCCGTCGGGGTGTTTGGACCACTTCAAAATCATCCTGGAGGTCAAGGTTCTTGCAGGATCTGCTTCGTCCTTGTGCTGGAAAGTCCATACACCATGGTCGAAAAAGGACTTCAGTTCTTTGACCTTTGCCTCCTTGAAGAGTGCTCGTTCATCAGGTCCAAGTAGGCGTTCATTCACCCCATTCTTGTCCTTCTTGAACTTCTTTGCGCGGGACAACTTCTGGCTCTTTGCTTCTTGCTTGGCATTGGTGTAGGCCTCATGGTGACCAGAGTACATGGCCATCTCCTTGCGAGTAGCGCCGTCGATTTGGAAGACTGTGAGACCTGTCCAAGCATCCTTGGTATCTGCTGGGGCTGAAGTGTCGGTGCCGTCATCTGTGTAGAGGCGGCTTTTGCCGTTGGCTTGATGAACCATGGTAACTTTGACCTTATCAAGGTGTTCGAGTGGCACTGGGCAATCCTTCGGGAGGTGCTCGATGTGCATGCGGCCTCTTCTCGGGATCACATGATGTCGGATGAGACACCCAGCTCTGATTTCCCAGTAGTCCGTGGTGCGACCAGTGAGGCTGATGTAGCCTTCTTCATCGACATGCCAGCCTTCAGGAAGCCAGCCAGGATCAATGTCTTCAACCACAAATCCTTGGTCGCCAATCGACTCATTTGGAGGCGGTGCTGGTGTCGGTGGTTGTGGTGCTTCATATGGTTGGCTGTGTTGATGATGGCGGTTTCGCCATGGTGCGAAGCTGATTGTCTCTTGTCTGCTGAACCTCAGTCGTTGCTGTTGGAAGGTCTCTGGTCCAGCTGTTTCATATAGCGCTGCCGTGGTAGGATCAAGTGTTGGCTGTGACTTTGCTGAGTGTGGTGTTGGTGCAGCTGTAGGTATTGCAGGCTCTTCACTGGGCTCGGAGAGGGAGATCCCCGACAGGGGCGAGACGTCGCCTTCTGGAATGGGAATCTGTGCGCCGTCAGGTTGGTCCTCTGTCTCGGCGGGTGCCGCTGGGGATGCCTGAGCTTCGGCGGCTGGTGCCTCTGGTGCCGGGTCTGGGGAGTCTTCAGGGGGTGCTGGTGACACTGACAAACGAGGTCGCTGTCGTGGGGGAGCCATTTCATGATCACTGTCGGACTCCAAGTTGTCACTGGTGCCATGTTCATCGTCTTCAACATCAGCCAGGTGCTGTCGATTGAGCCGATGCAGGTCATAGTATCTGGTGACTCCACGGGATCGCAGCTGGCGAACTGTATTGAGGGCAAGTTGTGTGTCATCAAGTGCATGATCCATGCCCTTGACGTCGGCCCTGATGTGATGTGGTGCACATCTGATCAGCTGCGTCTTGAAGGCGAGCCAGTAGACGGAGACCTGTGGCGTGTCAGTGTCCTGCTGATATTCCTTCATCACCACATGTGCAGGACCAAGCCATCTGATCTTGACCAAGTCAGGCTGTCGTGCATCGCGCCAGAACCAAACACGTTGTCCCAGACTGTATTCGGCGTTGGTTCCCTTGTACTTCATTTGGAGAGCTCGTCGAAGGCGGCGATCAGCATCGGCGTCCAGCAATGCCTTCTTGGCACTATGCCGCTTGTTGAGCATGTCTTCAAAAGAGGCGTTGCCACCAAAGTGCGAGGGATGCATGGCATCGGACAACAGATCTCCGGCAAGGCTAGGTTGATAGCCGAGAACCCATTGTGAAGGGCTGAATCCAGCAACCATCGGAGTGGCATTGAGCTGTGGCACAACGAAGGTGAGCGCCTCTTTGATGCCTTCAACATGATCAACCTTCACATCATCGAGGTAGATCTCAACAGCTTTGCGGATCAAGGCATGGCGTCGTTCGACGATGGCGAGGCGTTCATGAGCTTCACCTGGTGCCACTTTGCGTTGTAGACCGTGAGCTGTGGTCCATTCATCCATGATGCCGCTGAGCCAAGGTCGGCCTTCATCTGTCAGAAGCTGGCCAGGAACACCAAAGTGTGCAATCCAGAAGCGCTCAAGGGCCTTGATGTATTCCTCGGACCGCTCGGATCGAAGGAGGCAGGCAGCAGTATAGCGAGTGGCCATGTCAACAATGCTCATGATGGCATACTTTGTGGAGCCCCTTCGAATCCAAAACACATCGGCCTGTACAATCTCATTGAAGTTCTGTGCCTTCTGGGTAGCAGCAGGTGCAGCATCGCCAGGCTTCTTATACTTGGCGCAGGCCAAACACTTGTAGCTTTGAGCAGCTTGCAGGATCGCTTCCGAAGCACCTCGGGAGGACAGCAACTCAGTCAAAGTGGTCGGTGAAGGATGTCCCAAATTGCGATGAAGGCGCTGAACCACTCTGATTGCTTCCTGCTTCGTTTCCGCGCTCAGTTTCACTAGAGCGCCTGTCAGCTCTTTCTCCTCAGTGGCGAAGGCATAGTCCACGGTGTAGTGAGCGTGCTCCCACAATGTTGCAGGCTCATCAGTGCTCAAAGCTCCAGCAAGACTTGTCGCCAACCCAGGTTGAAAATCTTCCATGTAGCGGGTGCGAGAGCCAAGACCATGTGCAGAGCCTTCGAGGCGACAATGCTGGTGATCGTGGAGACATTGGAGACACATGGTTTCCTGCACAGCCTTCTTGGTAGTGAGGATCCGAGTGTTCTTGAGAACAGGTCGCCATTGTTTGTCCTCATCAAGGCACTGAGCTCCATACCAGAAATCGGAAGTGCTCGAGTCTGCCATGACTTGGCATCGCGAGGCTGCTCAAGGTGAGCATGTCTTCCTCCCTTGACCTGTCGAAGATAGGCATCGCGGACAAAGCATAGATGTCGGTCATGATGCCATTGGCGAGCAGCAACGAGAGCTTCCTGCTGGTGTGCAGTTCTCCGGCCAAGTGACTGCATGCGAGACCATAGCTTGCAGACCGGAGTGAGCAGGAGTTCTTCTGGCATCTCGTCATCGAGGAGGTCTAAGAACTGCTGTTGGTGGTCGAGGGAGTCGAAGTTCCAGCCAGTGTCCAGGGAGAACTGCCTGGTTTCCATGCCAAAGACTGCTGCCATCTCAGAAGTGCGGGCCTTACCACAATATACTTCCCATAGGACCCTCGGTCTTGGTGGGCGATGCAACTCCTGAGTGAGGTAGGCAGACATGTCGTTGATGTGGGTGGTGAGGTGCACATCCATGGTTTTCAGCAGTTGACCCTTGATTCGATTGGTCTGGTCATCCTTTGTCACATGTCCATCATGGACTTGGAAACTGTGCTCTTCCTTGACAAAGTCGGGGAGGTAGAAGCCATCCTGTTGGTGAACATCAGGATCATTGGTCTTCAGTTCAAACTGTGGCTTGCCGGGGTCGTACTCAATCAGGTCGTGCTCGAAAGTGAGGGGCCACAGATACTCTCCCTGTCGACCAAGCGTGGCCGGTTGCCAAGGTGATCCGCCAATCTTGAGCTTCTTGTTGGCGAAATCCATTGTCATGCCCAAGGCTTCAATGATGGGTCTTCCACAAAGCAAGGGCGTGTTGCCCGGCAGCAAGAACACTTCAACTGTTCCGTACCTGCCATCAACGAAGACCGGAAGGTGTGTGCTCCAGTCGGACCATTGTGAGGCGTCTCCACCGAACTGAAATCGTCTCCGGCCTTTTGTCATCTTGATGAGGTCGGTGGGATAGCCAAGGTCCTCATAGTGCTCCAGCAGCTTGCGAAAAGGGCCATAGCCTGAAAGGAATGCACTTGCACCAGGATCCAGCATAGCGCAGTCAGGTCGCTCCAAGCCGTTGGCGTCTTGGAAGGTGAGGAGAGCAAGTTCCTCGGGTTGAGCTGCAAATGCCATGCCTTCCGTTGGAGCGGGCCTCTTCGTTCCAGCCTTGGAGGCTGAGCTGCTTGAACCTTGTGGGCAGTTGGCCGCCCAATGACCAGGTTGGCCACACCTCAGGCAAGTGAGTGCTGCACGAGCTCTTCCTTTGGGATCTGCTTTGCCAGCACCTTGAGGTGGGTAGCGAATTGTCGTCTTGGCTTTGGACTTGCCAGACTTGGTGCCTCCTTTCCCTTTTCCTTTTGAGCGCCAAGAGGAAGGTGATGATGTAGCATTGGATGCAGGAGACACTGGTGCTTGTGAGCCATCGGTCAAAGCTACCACTGGAAGATATCCTCTGGCCATCTTCAGCTCTTGGAATCGTTTCCGAGCATCTGTGTACGAGGCAAAGGCGTGGTCGTACTCTTCAGCCATGTGTTGAGGGCTGACAGGCTCGGCATCAGGATCAGGCCATTGTTCTTCACCATAGTAGCCTGCTTCATTGTCAAACTCGTCGGGCTCCTCAGGCTCGTAGTCATAGTCCTCGTAGGAGGCATAGGTGGGTTCTTCAGTCCAATCACCTTCATAGTAACCTGACTCCCATGGCTCTTCATCATCATAGTCATCGGCCATGTAGGCACGGTTGTTGCGCCATGGTGCAAAGCCAAATCGCTTGCGCTCCATCGGCCAGGTTCCTCCCTTGTAGTCTTGACCGAGCAGCAAGTAGAGGGCCTCTATCACATCTTTCTTTTCCAAACTCGGTGCCTTCAGCGTCACCATCTGTCGTTGCTCCTTGGAGATGGAGGCACGTCGCAACAAGTGCCAGCCCTGAACTGAGGCCGGAAGTTCGACCTTGTGTTGTTGGAGCTTCCTGTAAGCCTCTTCGTGGTCGGCCACGAACATCAACAGAGTCTGGCCGCTTGTACGTTGGAGCAGGTTGAAGTAGCCCTCAAAGTCGTTGGGCAACTGAACTCGGGCATCGTATTGGAAGTTCGCATCCAACGTAGCAATGATGCGGTCGAAGGATGACTCCTTCTCCAGCTCCTCGAGGCTCCAGTCCTGGAAAAGTCGCCAGGTGACTCCTTGGAAAGATCCAATGATGTTCAGGACGGACTCATTGCCTCTCTTGGTGAGCATCATCTTGCGATGATAGAGATGGATCCGCTGGCGCCATTCCTTGTAGTCGGCCGGTTGGCCTGAGAAGGTGGGGACATAGCTATCCCTCAGGTCCGTGTAGCCTCCTCCACCATCTCGTGAGCCGGTGGGTGCCTGGGTCTCAGTCTTCTTTGGAGGCGGCATGGTAGGATAGAGCTCTTCAATCACCTGCTTGGTGGCTGGGGTGTTCAGGTAGCCAGTGCACGAAACCAAGCAAAGGTGGAGGCAAACACAAAGAGCTCTTCGAACCGTCCGTGACCCTGGTCTTATCCCGGACCTTCGGCTCGTCGTCGCGAAGTGCGCAGCGGAGCCCCTTCACAGGGCTCCGCTACCAATGTAGAAAAAGCGGTCAGGCAAACGAAGTCCCGAACCAAGTGCAAGCGAGGTCGAAGCGGAACGAACCGCAAACACGCGCCGGTTTTCCTCAAGCTTTGAGCCCACCCAGCTAAGGGCGGTACGAGTTGGTTCAAACCTGATCGCTCAGCGAGCGATTCACATATTTAATATACTGTGTATATATTGTGTATATAATGTGTTTCGTCCTTGAAGCCTCCCACATGTGTTAATTGTGTTATATGCACCAATAGTACTCTATGCAGGTCCTGGATTGTTTTCCGATTTGGAAGTCTCAGCACTCCCACGTCTCCCCATGGGAGCACCGTGCCTGAAAAGAGTTTCCGAGCAGGACCACATCAGCCAGAGAAGAAACATCCTCAGGCCAGAAGGACTAAAAGTATGGCGAAATGTCTCACTTGGCTAAGCAAATGACAAAAAGAACATGAGCAAGCAAGCACAGCAAGCCACATTTCAGCAAAAACACAAGATTGTGCAAAGCCGAGGAGGAAATGGAAGGCATTTCTCTAGGATTCGAAGCAATGTTTGCACCATTCTCACTCTCAGTTCTCGTCTTCCTCACTGATGTCAGAGAGCACGGTCTGGCAGTTTGAGCAGTGAAAATGTTGCTGAAGAAAAAGAATGCAAGGCGCCGCAAGGCCCTCCTCTTGTCTTTTCACGTTTAAAGCTGGACACGGAGCAGGAAGCAGGATGCCTCATAGAGCTGTCGATCACAGTGCGGCATGAAGAGCAAGGCAGGCCTCCTTGTGTGGACGAGAACTTGGGGAACAATGTGTTTAGTGAAAAAAACATCTAGGAAACTGCACATGTCTTTCAATACCCACAGGATCCCACAGGCATGGTGTCAGCCTTGCCTCCATTTCTCTCAAGTAACTCCTGCACACGCTGTGCTCTGCTAACTAGCGCTTCACCATACTTTGAGCCCATGACCTTTGAAACAGCCTGAACCCACTTCGATGCTTGGTGGGCGAAATCCAAGGGATATTGCTGCTGGTCATCTGGGATCTCTGCTGCCCCGGCACTCAGCAGCACAGCTACCAAATCTGGCTGACTCAGTAGCGCCGCCGCATGCAATGCTGTCCGGCCATGTGCATCTACAGCATCCACTTGGGCACCTGCTTTGAGGAGCGCATCTGCTACTTCAGCATGGCCGGCCCAGGCAGCATCATGTAAAGGTGTCGCATCTGACAGATCCGTGGCGTCGGGTTGGGCACCTCTTTCCAGCAAGTCAATGACAACCTTGGGGTGCCCGTTGGCTGCAGCCCAATGCATTGGTGTGGCACCAGAGTAGTCCCGGGCATTCAGATTTGCGCGTCTCGTCTCCAATAACAAGGTGACAATTCGCTCATCCCCGATACGTGCAGCGATATGGAGTGGAGACGTGCCATCTTCTCCGGCTGCAAATGCAGGCACCCCTCTCTTCGCTAGCACCTACAGTATGCAAAGATGCAACATGATGCAACTTCACTTTGTCAGGTCAGCGTGACTTGGTTCCATTGGCAGTGTAGGTTCTGGAGGTTGCGGGTTGTCTTTGATGTCTTTCTTGGAACTTTGGAAATGCAAATCGTTGCACTCCTTCATCTCGGCATACAACTATAACAGGGTTGAGCAAAAACACTGGCTCCCAACAGCCCCAGCTGCCACAGAGTTTCATTCAACTGTCACAGAAGAAGCAAAATGGGCCACTTGCAGTCACTCTGTATTGCTATCAAAAGCCATTTGGGCTGATTCTGATGCCTTAGAAAGACTAGTAGACACACTTGTTCTGCTACCAAAGCGGTACGCTTGGCTAGGACAAGCGTGCCAGGCTGTGCCTTCGCCACATGAAGGAGCCTTTTGTTCCTTTTCCATGCCCTTCAAGCCATACCTAAACCTCATGCCTACGGGCCTTGAGTCTAGAGTCTAGAGGCTTGATTCATAATGATATCGTATCCGTTTGGATTTATATTATCTTTTGCTGTTGTGCTACGTACCTCATTTGGAACGGTGTGCCTTGGATATCCTGTATGACAGGACTGGCCAGAATGGGCTGAGAAACATGTGCAGCAATCATGCATTGAAATGGTTGTTGGGTTGTTTCATCAGGCCAAGAAAGCCAGTTGAAGTAAATATCATGGTTCTAGACTGCATTATATACCTCTCAACATGCACAAGAACTGCTCGGCAAGTTATGTGTCCCATTGTTGCGTAGCACCGCTGTGTTGCTGCAATGTCTTGATGCTATTCAACTTAGGCCGGCACCTCGGCTTGATGTGTGCACACTAGGACATCGCCAGAGCGAACCAAAACTTTTCCAGGAGGAAGAGGTGGTATTGAGTCCCGCACTGCTGGAGTGCCAACGTCGGCCCCAAGCTGCAACAAGCTTTGTACCACATCGGCATTTCCGCCCCTCACAGCCCAGTTGAGAGGCCGTCCCGGGACACTGCCGAGGGCGACCGAGTCCACATCAGCTCCAGCCGCAGCCAACTCCTCAACCACTGCAGCATGTCCCTGTAAGGCTGCCCAATGCAGGGGCTCAGCATCCTGCTTGTCTCTCGCATGGAGGCTAGCGCGGCCGGAGGTGCTTCGGGCAAGGTTGCGGACAACGTCCACATGCCCGCTGGCAGCAGCATTGTGAAGTGCAGTCTTGCCAGAGCTGTCAGCACTCTCGGCATCAACACCTGCAGCCAAGAGGATCTCTACCACCTCCGAATGCCCTCGAGTTGCAGCTTCCATCATCGCCTTCTTGGCCTCTGGTGTCCCTGCCGACCCTTCCGACCCCTCGAGCAGCTGCTGCAGAATCTCGGCATGTCCGGCCACCGCAGCGCTGGGAAGTGCTGCTGCCGCAACCTGCTTGAAATAGTTCGGTACGGCGACACGGACTCGTTCGACCACTTTGCCATGTCCGCGTTCTGCAGCTGCTGTCAAAGCGGAACGAAGAGCGTTCAGTCCAGGCTGCGTCTCACTCATCAAATAGTCTACTACGAGTTCATGCCCTTGGGCTGCTGCCCGTTCCAAAGGTGTTCCCAAGGACGAGTCGGCTGAAAGACTAACTTTGGACTCGGTCAAAGCCTGCAGAACAGCTAGATGTCCTTGCTCCGCAGCCACATGTGCTGCCGTGAGCCCTAACAATCGATCGGCGGTATCAGCTGCCATTGATTTGACTTTTGCTGAGTCTCCTATGTAGGCAGCTTGCAGCAGTTCACCCGGTAACCAGCGCACGACGAGATTGAAAGCAATGGAGATGCGTTCTTCAGCATCAGCAGCTGCGGGCTCAACCTCATGAGGCACGTCAGGAGGAAAAAGCACCAGCAAATTGGATTCTGGGACCACATCAATGCCTGACTTGTTGCTGCTGGGAAAAAGAAGCAACCGAGAAGGTGATGCGTCGAGCACTTCCGGATAAAAGACACCTGAGGCGAACAAGGAGCCACCAGGACTTCCATGTGTGTGGCGAGCATTCCAGTCTCCAGGCCGGTTAATGTTTGCCCAGAGCTGATCTGGCATGAAAGCTATTTCCAACTCTTCTCCGTCTTCTGTGGGATATGTCCATCCTTGGGTCTCTAAAAAGACTTTGGCAGGCTCGGCCACCAATTGCATCAACTCTGAAAACTCACCGAGAGATGTCAGGTCTTTGCTCTGCCACCCGCCTCGATTGCTGACACTGCGACCCTTGCATTGCCGCTCAATGGCTTTGCATAGATCGACCAGTCGAGCACCCAGCCCTTCAGCGTTGCACCGAACGCAAAGGATATCTTTGCTCAACCATGTTTTTTCAGGCTTGCTTTGAGCCTTTATCGATGCAAATGAGTCTGGTGTAGGAAGGCCAAATAGAATCACCAAAACTATGCCCAACAAGCCCAGCAAAGTGCCATTTCGACTTGCGCTGGGTGGCATTGCGTGCGTCACTGCTTGGGCAACAGCGACTGTGGGGACTGGCTTTCTTTCAGCTGAACAACAAGTGCAGTCTTCAACTCAGCGTTCCTATACAATAAAAGTGATGTGATGTTGCTGTGTCAAATCAAGTGCAAGAAGAGCGGACCTTGTGAGGAGCGACAAAATGTGCCAAGTACCGGAGGTCGGGTGTGGCATGTGAGTACCGCTTGGTCTGGATTCCACCGTAAGAGCTTGGAACATCTGCTTGCCCTTTGCAACCCCCTTCGTCCCCCGCTTTCAGGCCTCGGAGACGTTTCAGCGAGCTCAAGAAGACCCTGCAGTTCCAAAAGAAGCAAACGGATGGTTCACGTCAACGAACGATGTGGGCATGGAAGCTCCATCAAAGCTCAATGAAAACCCGACCATGTGGAGCACGCCCGATGTTGCCTTAATCACAAAGCCTAGCTCCTGTCCGGCAGCCACATCTGCAGCGCACCTGGTTTGTTGCATATTGGATTCTTGTGGATGATCCGTCACCTTCTTACAATGGTTTCAATCTTTGTTGCAAAATGAACCTGAGCTATAAGACTCTTTGTTTGCATTCAGACACCACTCAATCCAGGAGACAGTGTGCCGTTGCTAGGCTACTGGCATTTGTGGATCCTCAGATGTTCATCTGCAGCAGAAAGGACGGTCCAGAAATGATGTCAATGTTTCCAGAATCTAGCCAGCATCTTCAAAGATTTGGTTCAATCATTTGCCAAGCTTCCCAAAGATTCAACTTGAGGCGCCTGCTGCCCAAGACCTTTCAGCAATCCCCAATTCCTCCGCCAAAAGCCATGCAAGGGCCATTTGCCAAGCCTCATCTCCCGGACGGGCGCGTGGTGACTCTGTGGTGACTGGTACTGGGCGAGTCAATGCTAAGAAGAGCAGCACTGAACACAGCTGTGCAATGCCAAGAATTCTCCAACCTACTCCTGGACTCCTGGGGGTGACCAATTCATCTGGGATGTTTATTGCGCGTGTGATTTGCACGGTAGGAACATCTCGCCAAGTATGCCACGCATCCTGAGGAGGATACGGAGGAGCTTGAGGATTCTGCCGAACCAATGCCCAAACACGCCAACCTTGGCTCAGAGTTTGCTCTTGAACTGCTCAAACACACCATCCGCCATCAATAAGGGCTGTGCCTCGCACCTGCGTCACTGTCTCTTTGAGATGGCACGGCCTTTCAGGTGTTGACCCAGATTCGTTTGCAAACATGGTGACACTCAGCGTGACAGCTCCTAGTAGCGTTCTTGTTCCTAGTCGTATGGCCAGGAGCCCCTAGTAGCGTCCTTGCTCCATTCGTAGCGATGCCCTTTGCTCCTAGTAGCGTTCTTGTTCATCTCGCTTGCTTTGGGCACATACAGGCAACCCTACCCAATTCGGACTGGCAATCCTCCCTACTCTGGCGACCAGGCTTTCACAACACCCTTCAGGTTGGGGTGTCTTTCTACGCATTGTCTTTCTTTGTTAGCCACACCTTTCTCTAACCAACGCCCACATTCAAAACTAGGTCGGCCTTGAGAGCCTCCAGGATGAGGTGGGAGGTGCTTGCCCAAAAGTCGGAGCGTCTCAGCGACCTGAAGAAACGCAAAAAAATAACACAGGGTGAGCCATCAAGCTGAACCAGCATGAGTTGCTGATGACCAAGCTCTGAAGGAAAAGAAACTAGAAATTTGATCAGGTTTAGAGTCTAGAGTAATTGTCAGAGTCTGTCAATTCCATGTCACGAGTCTTGGTCATGTGTCGTTGTTTGGATATCTGCCAGTTCGGCTCACGTGTCATTGTTTAACCCTAGCCGTATTGCTGTTTGTCATTGCCGTCTCATCATCATTTAAGAACATCCAGAGCTATATGACAAACACAACTGTCAAGGCGATGCAAAAAAAACAACAACTATATAATTTGACCTTTCCACGGTCTCTGCAAGCCTGGATGATTCAGAGTGAGAGTAGATCGACTTACCCACGGTTGCCATTCATATATACAATCCTTTTCCACCTAGCTGGTCAGAAATTGAGGGTAAGAAACAAATGATTTAATTGATTACATATATAATACGAGCTCCAGCGACTCTTTGGTTGGAGGCCATCGCTATTGGTTTGGAGGCCATCGCTATTAGGTTGGAGGCTATTAGGTTCGTATTCACATGGTGTCTGACCAGAGGGCCGCACTCAGCTCGTTCTTTGACTCTAGCCACTATTCCTGTTTGCGCCGGAGGCTTGAAACGCGAAGACAAGAACTTGCGGCAAGAACCACATGTAGGTGCGCACACACAACTGATTTTGAAATATATAATTTGTTGTTTCATGCAAGCTTGCTAGACATGCAACATGTGTTCGACTCTGTACAGCTTATGCAGTCAGCTAGAGTACATCCACTGGTGAGTTGGTGAGTTCTACCGCGTCCCATACATCACCAGCTGCAAGACCTTCATTTGTACCTTCAACCAAGGCCCACACGTGCCACCGCAGTTGGGTCAGCAGGCCCGTCTGGAACTTTAGGCACCTGCACGGTTTTGGATGTTTCTGAGCATTGAGGGACAGGCGCAACGCCGTTGATATGAGAGCCTCAAACTCCGGCTGACCCTTACCATGCTTGCATTACTGTCAGAACATGAGTCTTTGCTGTGAAAAAAGTTCAGTGGGCAATGCGTGTGAGTCACTGCAAAATACCAGTTCAGCACAGCTGTGTAGTGTCACGGTGAGAGAGCCAACCAATACCCATGCAAAATCTGAGCCAACATACCTACTGTAGCTATTTCAATTTGAGTAAACCGAGAAGTAAGCCTTCTCATAAAGTTTCCTAACCCTGAACACGTTTGGTGTTTTGGTTTTCGTGTTTTTGTGCATGTCGATCCAAGAGCTTGCCCAAAGGGGCCCAACATTCAAACAATTCAATCTTTTGCAAGTTTACAGTATCCTGTGACACTGTGACACCTACATCAAACGATCTTCTTCACACATCATGTATATAATGCGTTTCTCCACGGGCTTGCACTGTCCACTGGCCCCTAGCCTCTTGCAGCACCAAATGAGCATGATCTGTGCAAGATCCGGTATTGCAATTGCACGATTGCACGATGCAATAAGGCCATTAAAAATCTGGTGTCTTTCTGGCTTTCAAGCCTTCCTACAACGCTTTCGCTCACAAAAGCCTTCTCAAAAATCATCAAAGACCGTGCGAAACTCTCTGACCTCGCCCAGGTCGCCCAGGTCGGCGCCGGGACTTAGCTACCTGTCGGTAGTTTGAACAAGCAGAACGAATGCAAAATGCTCCTCTGGACTTACCCTGAAAAATGTCCAAACAAGGAAAGATTGAAAGGTGCGAAAACATGTCCAGCTAACTTGCTCTAACATGATCTTGGTCCTGAAAGGTGCGTGCCATGTCTCTCAACCAGCCCCCTTCTTCTCACACGCACGCCATGTCTCTAGTCTCTACCGGCTCGTCGGAGCCTTCCATTCGGATGCATCTTCTGCCATTCATCAAAGCAAGTGCTTCAAGTTCTTCATGAGATTATGCAATTGATTGCAAACCTGTTTGGCTACGTAACGTAAGAACATCATACATACCGTCCAAGAAATACAACAAAAAAACAAATTTAAAAAAATAAACAATGTAAACCAATATGAACCTCCAAACCAATTAATAATCCAATTGAGCTGGAAAACGTATCTCAAGCTTTGGTTCACTTCACTGGATGTGTGTAATCAAATCTGAAAGAAGCGATCTGGCACTTCACAGCGACGTGGATCTGGCACTTCACGGCGAAAATGAATAGATTGTTTCTGGTGAATCTGGCCAAGCAGGAGACTATAGACAAAACTTGACAACGCGACACAGGTGGCACACGAATCCCCACTTTGGAACTCTGGCATGCTGGTATTCTTTGGCTGCTCAAGAGAAATCTTCTACGTGAGGCAGCTTGTGGAAAAGATCAACTTCGTCGACTATCCTCACAGGTCAGATGACTGCTCCGGACGTGTCGCCCTGGCAGAGACAGTGTGAAGGCAACTTTGACGTCGAGAGCTTCCCTTGGAGCCTTTTGCCAAGTCTAGCTGAGTCTAGCTGTGGCCAAGTCAACTCGAACTTCACTAGTGATGAATCTGAAGGTACGGTAGCATCCCTGGAAGCAAAAGCACAGCCACCTTGTCTGGACATATGTGCCATTGGTCTCTTCACGCAAATCAGCCTCAAGAGATCATGGGAATCGCTTGGTGCTCTTCCGTTTTGAACGCGGAGAAGGATCGGTTGACAAAATGCTGACTGACCAGTGAAAATGGAAGTGCCAAGAAGAGGTGTGGGCTCTCACCTAGAATTGCTCTTCTAGTTGTGGTGTCCAAGCCATCCAAGTTCATAAATGGGGTCAAGTGTTTTGCAGCTGATTTGCCCCTGCAAGCTTATGTTTGGTGGCATTCCAGGGGAACTCTAGAACTCTAGCGATGTACTACCTGCCAGCGTAGTTTCTACCCACCTGCCCACCTGCACGAAAAGAACAGCAGGGATTCCCAACCAACAGGGACCTGGCATCGGACCTGGCGCTGGTCCACAGCATCTTCCCCTTGGGCGTTTTGGGCGGCCCAGACATCTCTCACATGTGCCATGTAAGGCCCAGGAGCTGGTCCCGCCAAGACCTGAGCATCTTCGTCTGAAGGTTACGGCTCACACCGCACAGATTACGAGCTTCGTCTCGCTGCGTTTTTCTCTCTTTGGAAATGCAGAGACTTCTGATTAGGTCTTGGAACGCTTGGTCGAAGTCACTCATGAAAGCCCATGATGACTCTGATGACTATGCCCATTGTGCCCTTGTGGTGAATCCATCTCAAGCAATCTGTGCTTTGACCAATCTGTGCTGAGCTCAGCAACTCCAAGCACGAAGCCAGCAACCTCCACTCCGCCAAGACTCCAACAGAATCCACATCGAAAGAGGTCAAAGAGATTTGCGATGGCAAACATGGAAAGAATCAGGAAGAAGACGTTTCTCTTCAATTGAAAGAATTGCACGAGCCAGTGTGGGCCTTGCTTTGACTCTTGGCACCAGACCAGGGCAGCTGTACATGAGCTCCGCCAAGATTTCCATCGCGAGCCTGAGCTCGGACTCTCCAAGCTTGGAAGAAGCTGAAGGAGGGTGGAAAGTTTGGGTCGTAACAAGGGCATCGCTACTAGTAGCAAGTAAGAAGCTACTACTGAGTTCACCAAGTGATTGTTTGGTTGTTTTTTCTAGCATTGTAGCGTCACTGAGCATTCCACCAGGGTTCGGAGCTGGAGATCTTGGGCCCTGATCAGGTCAGGCGATAAGGTGGCTCTTCAGCTCTTCGGTGTGGACAAGTCGGACACAGATCAACTCGGGTTGCTGATCCCATAGAAGTCGGTCGGGCCTAGGGGCCCAAACCAAATCAAGTAAGTGAAATCTGACTGCCTGCAGGCAGCACCAGCAGCAACAGCTGGGCACCACAAGGATGGCCTCGGATTGTCGTGGAAGGCTGACAAACCCAAACAAGTGAACGTTGGCAGCCGTTTCTAGTTCCCATCTCGTTCACCTTCTATCCGAGGATGGTGCCAGAGAAAGGACTTGGCCTGAAAGGCAAAATTGTTTATGATGTTTTCCATCTGGCTGAGCATGGTGAATAGTTCGCGGAAACGTTTCTTCAGCAATGGGTCGATCAATCAGGATAATGCGCACGGGCACCGTGGCCTTTACAGGAACCACTCGATACGGCAGCTGAGCTGCTCACTTGGCACTCGAGCAATCAAATCACTGTAGGACTTGTGGACCTCCAACGATAGCGCTGGTGCTTTTCGTATTTGGTGACAAAAATATCCCGGCCGGCAAGGGGCCCAAACAGTGTGTGTGTGTGAGGTCCAGAGGTGTAGCAGTAGAAAACGGGTGATGGCGACTGTGAAGGTGGAGATCGTGGTGATGGTGGTGATGCTGGTGATGGTGGTGGGTGGTGATGGTGGTGGCTGCGGGCTCAAGTGCTGCACCTGCCACAAAATCTGCACTTCGAAGTAGAACCGCTCCGATCCCTTGCGCCGGTCACGAAACGTCGACTTTGGACCACCAAAGCACGAGGTTTCCCTTGCGCCTGCCACGAAAAGTGACCACCATGTCCGAAAATGTGCACAGCACCACAACGAGAACGCAGTCGCGACAAGCACCCGCTCCGGCCACCCAGACTTTACGCGCCTGCGCAGTCGAAATGCACTTCAAAGATTTCGAGAGGCATGAATGCACTGTAAATAGCGACGAACTAGCAGCACACGAACGCGTGACACCTCCATTAGACACCGGCCCTTGACTACTACCGAAAGAACCTCACTGTGTGGTGAAAAAACACTTGACTTCACATGGAACACAGAAACTCTCAGGCCAGATAGATCAGTCCGAAGAGCGGCCTCTAGTCCGTAGAGCAGTGTATTTGTATCTGCCATGATGGCCTCAATCACATCCAACACCCAGCATGCTCAGTGAAACATGACCTCTATGCCATTGGCTTAGAACTTGGAGCTGATTCACAAAGCTCTCGCTTGAAAGTCTGAGCTCTGCTACGCAGCCGCACGCTGCAGCCAGGCATGTCAGCACCTGTAGGCCGTGGAAAAATGCATTGCCATTGCTGATTCACTCGATCAAAAACTGTTCTCAGCCCCTTGATGCGATGCAGTGGCTCGAATGCAGAATCAAAGAATTCCAAGAAAAGTATTATGATTGGGGATGACAAGTCCTCCAACTGCAAAGGGTTGTTTTCTGGAAGGTTAAAGCAAAGATTATCAAACAAGGAGGTGCTTGCGCACACACTTGCGCTTTGCTTATGCGACTCACATTTCAGCTTACACACCATGCAGGGGACATGAAGTGCTTACATTGAGCTAGCGCAAACAAATAAGGACAAACTTTCTGCACCACGCCACGACATGAGCTTACGCGCTTGACTCTTAACTTAGCAGACTTAGCACCAACATCAATCCTCGTCAGATAAACCATCAGTGGATGAAAACGACGAGGAGGATGAAGCAAAGGAACTTTCAGCAGTGGGTTGAAGCGCACAGTAAAGCTTCAGCGTCGGAGAGTTTCGGACAATTAGATTTGGTTTGAGCGCCATCGTGACAACCTTAAAACTGTTGGGCACTACCACGGACTAGTGACTAGTGATGTCATGACAGTAATATGGTGAGAAGTTGATTTTGCTTATTGCGCCGCCACCTGGGAGAAGGTGGTTCAATCACACATTCCTTATCTTGGGTGATGATAAAGAGTAAGTACAACAAAGTAGCATTCCAAAGGAGGGCATGAACATGTGCCTGCAAAGAATAGTTCACATGTTAAACTCTTTCAGCTCAGAATAGATTCCTCAAACAAACATCTCTCAATACATCTGATTGGCTTCCCAGTATCCCAACAATTGAAAATTGAATCAAGCACACATTCAGATACATGGAATATCCAAGCTTACGCACTTTGCTTACGCTAGTGTTACAGCCAGAAACTGCTTACAAACCTTACGCAATTCAAGGTTTTGCTTACCCACTGTGTCCTTGTGACCATGGCCTCACTAAATTTGAACACCTAGGATGCTCAGTTATTGACAGCGTGGAGCAAAGTATGCTCAGCCTATCTGTGGAATCCACCCGCCCCTTCGAGCGCTGCACAAGGGTCAACGCACATCGCAGCGTCAGCCCTGCCACTTCCAAGCCTTTGAAGAAATCTGAAGCGAAGGAGATGGGCACGTCTCAGCAGCGGATTGATTCCAAAACTTTTTCAGATTGAAACGTCCAACATGTGTGAGGCTAATTTAAAAGAAGATTGCTGCCCAGAAAAGCCTAATATCATCGGATATTATACCCTCAATGACGCTAACCTCGCCAACCTTGTCCTGTGCCGATTGATAAGCACTTGGCCCAACCTCATCTGACTAAGAAGTAATCTCCAAGGTGCACAAGATTCTCAATCTGCCATTCATGCATTGGCAGTGCGGAACCAATTCAAGGGCAGCTGATAGTTTTTGAACCAGGGAGACTGCAAAGTGCATCTTGCTTGCGCACTGCTGGTTTGAAGCTAGCCATGAGTCCATGAGTATGTACAAATGCACCAGATGATAAAGCTGTGAACAAAAGAAAATGCGCTATAGGGAAGGCTGTGACAAAGTACAGTAGTTGCCAAGTGATAACCCAATGAATCACACCTGGCATCCATTACCATGTGTTGCATCTGATATTCTTTGCTTGATCAAGCCGGCCATGGCGGTAGTCCCAGACCAAACGTGGCAAACGAAGAAAAATGAACGTGTAGTATAAACCATGTATGAACCTGGATTCGGCTGACCGTGAATTCGAGCATCCTCTCAACAGCTCCTTTTCGGATAACGATCAAAAAGGCTCCACACTGCCTGCACAGGGAGCAGCACTGTTCAGAGGATGGGTACGTGCTTGAATATTGAATTTAAGTGCTTGAATCTGTTGGCAATCAATGCAATTTGTACAATGGAATGCATGCATCTTGGAAATTGCAATTCTGATTGCTGGTCCGCAAAGGATGACACGCACAAAACGAGAAGTGTACACTCGACAGCCGCTTTTATGCTCGAAAATAGGAGCGTTGAACCTTGCAGGTTATGAGCCCAAAGGTGACAGGTGTAAGACCCGTGGGCAAGGACGGGCAGCCCTGCGCGCTTGCAAGCAATGTCCATGGTGGCTCGTCGGAGACGAAGGCAGCCTGGCGATGGGGATGAAGAAGAGGACCCAGCCGATCAGGGAGGCCTTCAATTACAAGATCGGCAGCTGGAAGATGATCAGCTCGCCTTAGAAGATGGTGTGGAAGAGGGGGAGGGGACCCTGGAGGGTCCGAAAGGGCCACCAACGACTCTGACGCCGATGACCCCACTCTTCACGCCTGAACAGCTGAAGGGACTTCATGAGGTACAGAGCCAAGCTCCTCACCTATATGCCCAAGTCCCGAGGCAGAGCATCTGGCAGCCTGGTATGGGGAACAGGTCGCCAGAGGAGGTGCAAAAGGAGAGACCCACGTTCCTGCCGAAAGAAGAAGGTTCAGTGGGAGTGCTTCCACAGACGAGCACGACGACGGGGACACCATCACCGGCACTGGTGGGCGACCATGTACCAGATGACCAGCGACGTGGACGACCAAGAGAACCACGGGTACCTGAAGTACAAGAGCCTGAAAGTGACAGCGATGGGCGACAACCTCCCCAACCTAGAGAGCAATCGGTGGTTCAGATCCAAGGGAACGGGCCTGGAGGGAGAGGTCTGCATGTTCCGAGAGGCTTTGGACAAACTGGCCCACCTGGGTACATCATGCCCCATGAAGAGAGGAGGGGACCTATGCCGCATCAAGGAGGATGGCAAGTTCAGCTGCATCCCTATGGCCCTGGTCCGCCAAATCCACAGGAGATGATGACCATGTTGGCAATGCTGAAGCAGGAGAATCAACAACTGCAGATTCAGCAAGCAGAGCTCATGGACGCCATGAAGTACCAGAGGGCTAGCCTGGAAGCCAAGGTCCATGATCTACAACGTGAGCTGGAGCAGCAGGCTTTCAGAACGCCAGAAAGCGATGAGCCTGTGAATCGTCAGCTGGAATTGACGGTCGACGAGCCTCCGAGAGAGACAGATTTGGAGGTGGAAAGACGCCGGCTGTATGAGTTGACTCCCATGCAACAGTTCGAGCAGCTCCAATCCTTGATGGGGACGGTCACTCCGGCGCCAGCAAAGCGAGGTGGTCGGGGGCAAGGGCAACGAGAGAGGTCGAGATCTCAAAGTCCGAGAACTGCACGTCAGGGAGGAGGTCAACCTGAGGGCTTGGTGGCATCTCGGGCGAAGGGCTTCGAACCGGAAGGGAGACAAGGGACCGGGAAAGGCGTGGGTCAGCCAAAGAAGAAAGCCGCAGCCGAGCAGCCTGGTCGATCTTCAACGGCAAATGTTCGGGAGGAACCATCAAGAGAGCACGGTGGTGGCATGGCTGATGCGATGTCCATGCTGATCACCTACCTGGTCGACAAGGACAAGAAGCAAGAAGGACCGGAGTCGGTCAAGCCGGGGACGGCCACACTCCCAGTCCTGGCAGAGCCATCCGATACGGCTCCTATCGACCTCGCTGACTGGCTCACTATGGTGGAACCGGCTATGACAGACCTTAGCGACTCGTCAGGCGAGTGGTGGGAGTTGGTGGTGAGCGAAGCAAGGGCTTGGTACAAACAGTACATCAAGCTTCGTCCAATTCAGCGGGCATCATCCAAGATCGAGCCGTCTGCTGAGTTGCAAAAGCCGAAGTGGGCTCGAGTGGAAAAGAGGGCCATCAGCATGCTGCTTTCTTCGGTTCCCACATCAGTGAAGGAGGAACTGGTAGCAACGAGGACTTTGTCACCGCTGGGGCTGGTGAGCAAACTCATGGTCCTCTATCAACCAGGTGGTGCTCATGAGCGCACCATCATCCTGCGGCAACTTGAAGATCCGCCAGAAGCAGGGTCGCCAAGCGAAGCCTGCATGGGGCTCCGACGCTGGATGCGCTGGCTCAGGAGGGCCACCGACATTGGCCTGAATCTCCCTGATGCGATCATCCTCATGAAGGGCATCAACAAACTCAGCGAGCGGATCCTCACTCAACAACCGGATCTGCAATTCAGATGTGCCTTGGTCAAAAACACCTTGCAGCTTGATACCATCCCCAATGAGGAGACTGTTCGGGCGTATGCTGAGCGTTTACTCGCTGAACTTGAACAACTCATGCACCGAGTCCGACCGTCTTCGAGCACTACGAGACCTGGAAATCAGGGAGGCGGACCATTGGCAGTAAAGGCACTACAAGGGGAAGATCGAGAGAAGAAGGGGGGCTCGCCAACGACATCGGCGAAGGGTCCTTGTCGATATTTCCTCACCGAGTCTGGATGTCGAAGAGGGCAGTCGTGCAAATGGGCGCATCAACTGGAGACTGGCGACAAGCAGAACCAGGAGAGAAGGTGCTTTACGTGCGGGGCCACACAACACCTGGCTCGAGACTGTCCGAGGAAAGAGACGGCAAAGAAGGGAGAAGGACCTCCATCTGGCCAGAAACCGAAGCTTCAGAAGCTGCTGGACAAAACTGGTGGTGGTGGAAATGGGACCTCGCGGAGCGAGTCGGGGGCTTCAATTTCTCCTCAAGCAGCGTCCTCGCAGTCGGTGACTTCGGAGGCGGCATCGGATGCAGCGACAAGAACTGCAGACCCAATCAAGAATGTGCTTGATGAGGCGCACAAGTTGCTCAAGGGCATGAACCTCGAAGAAGAAGGGCAAGATCGTGCAACGGACCTTGGTGCGACGTTGAAGAAGCTGAATCGAGCATGGGAGAAAGGTGGCCCAGAGCTACGGGCAGTCAAGATAGCTCGAGTCCAACAAGGTCGAGAGGGACTTCTGGATTCTGGGGCAACGCACGCTCTGAGGCCCAAGCTCCGAGGAGAAGACCTTCAGAGATATCGCCAGGTGAGGGCGACGTTGGCTGCCGGAGGAGCACAAGACATCCGAATGACAGAAGGGGAGACGCTGGTCCACAACAATGAGAACGTGGAGCCGATCGTCCCGGCCGGAAGGCTTGTCCGCGACTTGGGGTGTCGAATCGAGTGGATGGGGGAAGCTTGCACTTTGGAGCACCCAGTCAAGGGCAACATTGACCTCAGAGTTGAGGCGGGATGTCCTCAAATGGACCATGATGTTGCGTTGGACCTCATCAGGGAGCTGGAGGAATCTCGGTCGAGAACGGCGTTGAGGCGCTACCGATTTGGGGAGGCTCACAATGACGTCGACTGGCTGGACCGGGTGGTGGCAGATTGTCCGATCTTCGACAAGGTCCCGATCCGAATCAAGGATCGCCTGGTGGACTCTCCAGCAAGGAATCTTGAGGTCCTTGGAGTCAATCGACGCATCCGCAAGCGCTGGAAAAATGAGGGTGTGGTGGTTCATCTCTACGCTGGGAAGAATGAGGGCTACGATCTCACAAGGGCTCTCAAGGAGGCTGGCGGAGACACCACGAGATTGTTGGAGGTGGATATCCTTCGAAACCAAAGTCATGACATGTCAAAGGACGATGCAATGTACGCAGCACTGCTAAGGATTGCGATGTTGGGCTGGATTGATGCGGTGATCGGTGGACCCAACTGCAGGACCCGCAGTGAACTACGACATCATCCGGTCACGGGACTACCAGGGCCATCGAGATCGTTGGGAAGACCCTGGGGCTTGGACGAGTTGGATGAAGTGGAGAGGGCAAAGTGCCATTTGGACGATGTGCTGCTGTTGCGTATGGTGACGCTCTATGTGGTGGCAAAGCTGGGTCGAGATGCACGATTGTCCCAGGAGAAGAATCCCGCGTTGCTGCCAACGGTCAGGTTCTTGATGGAGCAGCCTGCAGCGCCTCAGCACATGCCGGAAGTGGCATCCTTCTGGAGAACCGAAGAGTGGAAGGTAATGAAAGAGTATCTCAACCTGGACATGGTGACCTTCAACCAGGGTGCCTATGGTGGTACGGCGGTGAAACCTACCTCACTGGCATTGAACATGGAGTTCATGGTTCCCGAGGATCGGGGCCCGCCCAAGGCCTTCTTGAAGACCAAGCATGAGGTGTCGAGCTCCGAGCTGGCGAGATGGGCCCCCGGAATGATGCGAGAGATTGCAAGAAGCATCACTGTCAACATCCAGAAGAGGCGGGTGACGATGAAGGCCTTGTCTTGACAGGAGCACCTGGCACAGGGACACGTGCCGTTCCGCAGAGACTGCGCTGTCTGTCAGAGAGCAGCGGCAAGGGATCGACCACATCGAGCTCAAGGGATAGCGGCTCCGTGTGTGCTGTCGCTGGATCTGACTGGACCATTTGTGCTCGGCCATGACATTGACGGCGACCTCAAGAAGTACCTCCTGGTTGGAGCATACACGTGGCCGGTCATGGAGGAGGCACCATGGGACGAGGTTGAACAGCTGGAGGTGATCCCAGACAAGGACTGGCCTACACTCGAGGAAGAGGAGGCTCTTCGGGAGGTGGAGTATGACCTGGCTCAGGATCTGGAAGCTCATGGTGAGGAGATGTCCTATCGACCTACGTCAGATGAGGGCGAAGATCTGGAGATGGGTGAGCCGGAGGAGGATGAACGGCAGGGCGAAGGAGACGGTGATCAGTTAGAGCCGCCGCCTGATCCAGGACCCAGTCAACCAGAACCACCATCGGTACCACCTCCAAAGACTCCAGAGGAAGTTGAAGAGCACCAGAAGGTCTACAAGATGACCACAATGTCCATTTGCCTACCACTGACCTCGAAAAACGCAGCAGAAGTCCTTGCAGGAACACAGGAACTATTTGGAATGCTGAGACGCCACGGCTACCCTGTGGCTAGAATCCATACCGATGCAGGCCGGGAGTTCGACAACAACCCGTTCAAGAGGTGGTGCTTGGAGAGGGGGCTGGCTAGAACCTTCAGTCCTCCGGATGAACACCAATCAAACGGTCGTGCTGAGGCCATGATTGCGTCGATCAAGCAAAGGGTCCGTCGACTTCTACATGCTTCGGGCATGCCCGCGAAGTGGTGGCCGGCAGCGGCGAGACATGTCACGGAGCTGGAAAGAAGGAGAAGGGAGAACATCAAGGAGACGCTTCCACGCTTTGGGCAGCTCACGGTGAGAAAGCGAGCTTGGGAGCGAGGAGGACCTTTTGAAGCGACATCCGAGATGGTGACCTACCTGACACCTACACCGCAAGTGTCCAAAGGGCACGCGGTCCTCACGGACAAGGAGAAGGTCAAGGTAGTGAGCTACTTGATAAAGGATGTCAAAGAGCCTAAGCCCGACGAACGAGACTTGGTCATGGAGGAGGTCCATATCCAAGACGACCCTGTACGGCTTCGCTGGAGGTTGAGAGAGAAGACACCACTGGCATGCATACGGGGAGAAGAAGACCTACAGAGGGAGGAGGATCGTCGAATGCTCTTTCAGGCCGTCTATGAGGAGGAGGGTCACTTGTTGGGAGCTGCTCCAAGAGAAGTTCCTCCGTTGAGCCGAGGTCTGGTTGCTCTACGACAAGAACAGGTGGCATCAACCCAACGACTCTTGGAAGACGAGATTCTCCAAACCCGGATTGTGCCCAACGATGAGGTGTACAAAGACCGGGAGCTGTGGTTGGAGGCCATTATGAAGGAGATCCAGTCCTTGGAGGGCAAGAAGGCGATTCGGCGACTGACTCCCGCAGAAGTGGCCTACTACCAGAGAGAGCATGGAGACAAGGTGGAGGTGGTTCCAGGGAAGGCCATCCATGCGGTGAAGGCCCCTGACGGACGAAGGAAATGCCGCCTGGTGGTGTGCGGGAACTACCTGAAGGGAGCTGGAAGAGGTCCTGGAGATCGTTCGGAGGCAGCTCAGCTCTATGCAGGTGGGGCGGATACTACATGCTTGAGGACCTCATTGGCACTGGCCGCTTCGCGAGGCTGGCAGGCGGCTAGCCTGGACATTAAGACTGCTTTCTTGAACGCACCTCTACGAACACTTCAGGAGAGCAGCCGGAAAAAGAACCTTGCCTTGGAAGACGCCCATGGTCGACCCCAAGAGGATCATGAAGAAGCTGGAGGAGGTCGCGATGGTCAAGAAGAGATGGCCATGGAAGAGCAGCAGGAGGAGGACCTCACGAAGAGGAAACGACTGGTGCTCATGCTTCCTCCGAAGATCCTCATTCGGCTGGGATTGGTGAAGGACGGGGAAATGTGGTTGGTGGAGAAGGCCCTGTATGGCTTGCGTGAGTCTCCGAAGCTTTGGGGGGACTACAGGGACATCGAGATCAGCCAGATGTCCTTTCAGACGAACTCCGTCACCTATGAGTACCAACAGAGCTTCGCGGAGGAGAACTTGTGGTTGGTGCGTCGGAAAGATGCCGGAGATGGAGACCAGGTTGAGGGACTCGCCTTGGTGTACGTGGATGATGTGATGCTCTTCGGCACCGAGGAGATTGTGAGGGCAGGGCTCCAGAGCTTTCGAAGGACCTGGGAGACGTCCGAACCTACGTGGGTGGGAGATCGTGAACCAGTTCGGTACTGTGGAATGGAGTTGAGCCGAACTGAACAAGGAGACTTCTTTGCCAATCAATGTTCCTACTTGAGGGAAGTGGTTCGGCGACATGGCATGGAGGACCTTTGCAGCGCTCAGATGATGAAGGAATCCCAGGAACCCGAGGATGAGCTGGATCGCACGCCCTTGCAGGTCCGAGAGGCACAACAACTCGGAGGAGAACTTTTGTGGCTGGCAACGAAGACGAGGCCGGACATTGCCTACACGGTCAGCCGAATCTGCTCAGCGACGAGCCGGGCCCCAAAATGGGCGATCCAAACCGCATACCAGCTGATCAGGCACTTGAATGCCACGCAGGGCCTGGGCTTGTGGTACAGGAGAGACGCCAACTTCATCCTGGAGTCAGTGAGTGATGCCTCTTTCGCTCCAGGTGGTGCTCATAGCCATGGCTGCGTGATCACAACGGTGGCCGGAGCACCGGTGGCATGGAAGAGCTGCAAGCAGCCGTTCCCCGCCCTTTCAACCGCGGAGGCAGAGCTCATAGAGGTCATCGAAGCTGTGGTCGTGGGAGACAGCATCGCATGTCTGGTTGATGAGATGGCGAAGGACGTCCCGAAGTTCCTCAAGTGCGACAACACAGCTGCAGTTTCAATAGCAAGTTGTGCAACTGGAGCGTGGCGTACAAGACACTTGAAGGTACGGGCCGCCCACCTCAAATGGAGGATCCAGTCTGGTCAATGGGAGCTGAAGTACCAGCCTGGAAGAGAGCTCATCGCGGACATCGGCACCAAGTCGTTGCCAGTGGCCCGGGTCAACGAGCTGAGGCAACGGATGGGAATGTCATGGCAGCCTGACTCAGTGGACGAAGTGCATGAGGAGGACAAGGGCATTGTCGCACCGAGGGCTATGAAGTTGGTCGCGAAGTACCACTTGGAGAAGGCCATGAGGCTTGTTGTGGTGTTGTCGGCATTGAAAGAGGTGCATGGAGCCATGGCGGAGAATGTCACCAAGAATGCCGATGAGAATGTCGAGGGTGACCAGATCTTGTACCTCCTCAGCGTCATGATGATGTTGCTGGGAATGGTGCTCATGAAGGTCATTCAAAAATGCCGTTTGCATTGGAACCGGGTGGAGGACGATCCGGCGACGCGTAGAGTGAGGGTCTCTCGCTTGGCTGGTCAATCTTCTTCCGGGACAAGGACGTCTACCAGACCTCAAGGAGGAGGAGATCAAGAGCCACGTCAACGTGATGGGGAATGGCAGCAAATGAACCATGGAGGGCAGAGTGCTTCATCCTCATCACCAAGGGGTACCAGGATGGGCGGAGGCATTGAAGATGGACATCAAGGGAGACCGGATCCCGCGCTGAATGAGCCACAGGAGGAGCCGCCGAATCAAGCTGACCTACCTGGAGGGCATCATCTGCAGATCACCCTGACTGGGAGGAGGAGGCGATTCCCCAATGAGCCAACGTGGAAGATCTGGTTCGCGGAGTCCAGCAAGTGCTTCCATAGACAGCGGAGCTGCAGGGGATTGAGCAAGGCCAACCGAGTTCATGAACAACCGGTGTGTGGAGCCTGTCAAAGGGCCACCAGAGGCCAGAGAAGTCTTCGAGAGACGAACTTCGTCTATGAGGACCAGCTCGGCAACTTCCACACCGATGCTCGGTGCAATGCGGTCACGGGACCGATGACTGAGATCCGCCAATGTAAAGTGTGTGGCGGTTGAAGCGGTTTGAGCCTACGGCTCGATTTTCAAATGCTGGTCAGATGCTAAACGCACGACCAGGGAGGAGTGCTGGTCCGCAAAGGATGACACGCACAAAACGAGAAGTGTACACTCGACAGCCGCTTTTATGCTCGAAAATAGGAGCGTTGAACCTTGCACTGATAATTAAAAAATATATATATATATATAATCTGGAAATCTTGGCAGCTGTTTGTGCATGCTCTCGGCACCTCTGGCCGGCCGAGGCCCGCCAGCGGGCGGCGCACGTCTCTTTCCCGACGTCGGGGCGCTGGCGTGGTCACGGTCGCAGCGCCAGTGCGCAGACTTTGCACGGCAGGCGGCACCTTGACTGAGAAAAGTTGAAAGCATCTAGAAAAGCAGTCGCAACAAGTACTTGCTTCATCTGCACTGAAATCACCGATAGTCACCCTTTGACGTGAGTTGCAGTCGAAGAGCTGTCAGTCTCGGTCTCGAAGGTGCTGAGCGCACAAGGGGCATCCTTGCACAGGTGCGCAGGTGCGCAGGTGGTGAGCTTGCTGTGTCTCCAAAGTTTGCGGCCTTTGTGCACCATGTGCAAAGAGCTCATCCAAGCGCTCGAGGGCCGGCAAAGCGCGGGTCACCTAAAAGTCGCGAAGCAGGATGAAAGAGCAAGGAGTGGAGGAGGCTGAGGAGGCTGAGATTCTGGCCTGTTTCACATAGCACGCTTCAGGTGAACATAACCGGTGAGTGCTTGGCCACCAAACCTCGCAGTGTGACGACAAACACCGATGACCCAGTCACCCACCCAAATGTTGAAGCAATTCGAGGTGAGACAGCTTAGTTTCAAGCCAGCTGCAACTCCACCAGGTTGGGCAACATCTGCAGGTCACTGATCAATGCCTCGGTTCCCTCATTGCACACCACATGCGCCACAAAGCTGCGGGCCGCTACGCCCGCGGCACTGCAGGCAGCAGCCCGAACAGTTCTTAGAGTGGTAGACCAGTCGTCCCTCGGCTCAGTCCGCTTGCCTTGGGCGCCCTTCAAAAGCTGAGCCCAAACACTCGCCTCCTCTAAAGATGATTGAAACGATCCTTCACTGGCTACAAAGCAGTGTGGCAACAAAGGTGCTTCCTGAGGATGCCCACGATGCTTTGAGAAAAGCAAGCTGCAGTCATACCGCGTGAGGTCAATGCGTTGAAGCCGGGGCAGCTGAAGAGCAAAGGCAACAGCAGCTGCAAGCTCTTCGGCCAAATCCGGTAAATGACCTTTCACGGAGGAAATTCCTTGCCGTAGAATCAAGTACTGGACACCACCCAGGCACGCTGGAGGCGTTGTCTCAGTTTGTGCGACTGGATGAGTCAAGTCCAACTTCTTGAGACGCAACAAACCCTCCGATGTCGAAGCTTCGACTCCTTTGGAGGTGACACGGATGGCCAATGCATCTGTCAGGGGCAGTGCTGACACCACGCCTAAGATCGCATCTGGCAAATGAGGCAGCAACTGCATGGCAACCGTGCGAACTGGCAAGCAACGCCTATCTTCCTATCTGCAAATTTGCACTGATGCACATTCCCTACAGCCGAGGTAACGAACTTTGCAGTTGTTTCAAGTCAAAGTAAGATTGACGTGATTGCCTTACCTCAGCTGGTGTTTGTGTCATGCTGGTTCCTCAAGATGTGCAAGCTTGTGGCATGTGCAGTGTGTGCATCCAAGAGCGCTTAGCTGCAGTGACAGTGGCTAAGAAGAAGCCCAAATCGACCCAACCACAAGTCTGCACCGCTGGGCATGATCCTTTTTGGGCAGGCCGCTAGATAAGTCCTTTCGGCAAACTGTCCAAGTTGCACTCACATCTCCTGGCACGCCAACCTCGGCGGCTCAGCGATCACAACGACAAAACTTGGCTTCTAAGAGCGATGGCCTCCACCCGAAGAGCGATGGCCTCCAACCTAATAGCGATGGCCTCCACCCTAAGAGCGATGGCCTCCGACCCAATGGCCATGGCCTCCAACCTACTAGAGAACTTGGCTTCCAGCATAGATTTGCACAGGGTGTTGCCTGCAAGAGTCAGGCTTTGGCTCCTTGTGGTCTTCACCAGGCACTCAGTATGTCCCCATGGTAGATGGTTTTGTCTGCAAGATTTGTACAAGTACGTTTTCCTTTCATCATTTCTGCCCACTCTATGCCTCAGCGACCCTAGATAATGTTCTGGCACGTAGAATCCCCATTCCTTAGCAAGATGGCCAGTGCAAAAGTGCCTGGAAAGTCTTCTTCTGGTCGCCACACCACCAATTGCCCGGGGATTCCTTGAGTGTCAGGCAGCCGTGCCATGCACCACTCCCAGTCTGCCATCCTTGCAGCGCACGGACAAAAACATTCCCGGTGGCTCGGTTGCTGTTTCAAAACCGCGAAAGAGCAAGACAGAGCGTAGTTGCGCAGGCGGAACATGATCGGTTCTGCTGGGAAGATTGGCCGGAACATAATCCAGGGGTTTGGACTTGGCCCTCAGTGTGCTCAGTGCTTTTCCAAATGTTGATCCAAACGTAGTCGCCGAACGCAGTCACTCTTCAGATTCTCAAGACCAATACATTCAGTTACAGTTACTATTGAAAGCGGCTAAGGAGAACAGGTCCACAACAGGGAGATGTGGAAACGTCTCAAAGAAGGAATGGGCTTGTTTGAGGCTCATGGATCCTCGTCCAGTTGGACCTGGACCTTCCAGGGGGTCATATGCAGCTGCTGCGCATCCTCCCGAGTCATACGAGCGCATCAAATTTGTGAAGACACATCGCAGTCCACCGGCGTGATGCTCGTCCAAAGAGTGCAAACACAAGTGCAATTACAGTAATCTGTGTGGAGAGACGTGGAGAGTTTCAAATTTCAAGGCTTCACACCTTTTTGGTACCCCCAACATTCTGGACTGTACATCTCCAAATTTCATGCTGAAATCAGAGAGTCAGGGAATGAATTGAGCGAAGCGAATCGTGCTCGAACATTTTGTGCAGCGCTTGCACTTTCTGAACATGAAATTCACACGTTTCTGTGTCTACTTTGTGTAGCAAGCAGAGCGTGTCACCATCTTCGGTGTCTCTGCGGGGCGCAAGCAAACTAGAAAGAAAGTCTCTCCTCCACCATCGGGTATGTCCAAACGCTGATATGTCTTCTTCGCTTTACTACTGGAGCTGTCTCTTCAACTCATCCACTTCGCTGCGCATCTTCGAAATCACGGCATCAACATCACCCTGTGACTGAAGTTTCTGATAGTCTTTCTGTTGCTTGGCTAACTCCTTTGCCAAGTCTTTGCGCTTCTGTTTTTTCACCTCCTCTCCACTGCTGAGCTTCGTCGGAACACCATCGTCATCAAACTCCGCATAGAGACCTTTGTTGGAGCCGGTGTGAAACAAGTCTTTTGGATTAATGGCAGCTTTCTCAGCCACCTCAAGCTCTTTGGCTTTCTGTTTCAGCTTGTTGAAGATCTTCTCACGTGCAGCTGCTTTGGCCTTTTCCTCTGCCTCCTTCTGTTCAACCTCCATCGATTGCCGGTCATCGAACATCCAAATATATCCACCAGTTCCTCGGTCCTCCAAGCGCACTCCAAGCCGGATCAAATCTACGTTCCTCACTTGATCGCAGCGTTCTCGAAGCTCATCTGGGGTGGAGTTCGAATCAGCTAGGCTTTTCAGGTCCTTCTGAAACGTCTCCAAGGTGCTGACAAGGTCCTTCAGACCTGCTTTTTTTGCCAAAGATGGGCTTTCCACTTTGGCCAGGACTTCCTTGACCAGCTTCTGCCGCTGGGTTGCATCCTTCTCCTTTGCCAAGTCCCTGACTTGCTGCCGCAGGGATGCAACAATGTCTACAGCCTCTATCCAAGCCTCTTTCGGCTCCTGTGTGACTCGCAAGCCCTCAACACCAAGCATGGACATGGTCGATTCGATCAGCTCAGCAGCCTTGACCACTGGCTCCAAGGAGCCAGTTGGGGAGTCCATGACGGCCTTGGCTTCTAGAACAAGCTTTGAAATGGCCTCGACTACCATAGATGTTGCAAAATTGTCGAGAATGGCACTGTGAATCTTGTCCTTGCAGTCACTGATCGCCTGCTCGAGCTTTTCGTCACCTCCTGGCACTCTTCCTCCTTGACGCTGCCAGAATTCCAAGCTACCCAGAAAATGCTTCATTCGCCGCTCCTCTGCCTTTGCCATATCAATTGCTTGGTCAGAGTAGTTCATGCCTTTGTCCCAAGCCTGCATCAAGAACATCAAGCGCAGCTGCCTCGCGCTATGAACTTCCAAGGCCTGCCTGATCGTGATGAAGTTCTTGAGGGACTTTGACATCTTCAGGCCTTGAATGTGCAAGTGCCCTGCATGCCAAAAGTAGTTCACCCACTGCGAGCGCTGCAAATAGGCTTCGGATTGAGCCATTTCGTTGTCATGATGTGGGAATTTCAAGTCCTCGCCTCCTGCATGGATATCCAGATATTCTCCGCTTTTGTCTGTTGCCATGACAGAGCATTCAATGTGCCAGCCTGGCCGACCTGGCCCCCACTTGCTTGGCCAAGCAGGCTCTCCAGGTTTGGACTTTTTCCAAAGGGCAAAGTCGTTTGGGCTCCTCTTTTCATCATCGGCAGCCAAAGCTCCTTCACCTTCTTCCATCTCCTTGGCTGTCGCACAGATGTCTGGTACCAGTTTTCGATAGTGGTAGCCCAGCTTTTGGAATGCGGCAATATCAAAATACACACTTCCGGAAGATTCATAGGCTACACCCATCTCTTCAAGTCTTTCTATAAACTTCTGAACCCTGCCATCCATGTACTCGGTGATTCTGGTCACAATGTCAGGCTCAAGGACCCCCAAAGCTTTCATGTCTTCAAAGTACTCCTTCTCAAAGCGCCTTCCATGCTGGTCAAAAATGGAATGATCTGTGACCGTGTGCCCCCGCTCCTTGTCAAGGGTGTCCATCAGGACCTCCTTCGCACTGCTTAGGATGCGGTCACTGCTGCCGCTGGAAAGGGCCTCCTCAATCTTGGCAGCCAGCTCCGTGTGCTGCTTGACTTTCAGCCTGTGCTCTTCCACCAACGTCTCATACTCCTGCTCAGCTCGAGATGAGCCCTTTCCTCCAGTGGGCCTTTCAGGTGCCTTTGCTTCCAACTTGGCTCCCTTCTTCTGGACTGCCTCTTGAACCTTGTTCCTCAAGATTTCTGAGGACATTCCCGCAGCCTCCTTGCAGAAGTCATCAAAAAGCTTGTTCTGTCGAGCTCGGAGAATGATCTTGTCATCAATGTCAGTGATGTTGATCTGGTACTGCACATCAAAATTCAAGTAGTTCATCATTATTCTTCGCAGAATATCAAATGTCAAGTATGCTCGGGCATGGCCCATGTGAGCCACATCATAAACTGTAGGCCCACAGGTGTACCATATCACTTTCTTGCCGTTTAAAGGTTTGAACGGCTCCTTTTCCCCGGTCAAAGAATTGACGACCTGCAAACCACTATCGTGCCCAGCATTTGGTACTAGCCATGGAGGATGACCTCCACGAATCACAGCCTCACCAAAACCTTTGCCCAGCAGGTCTTTACCAAAGCTCCCATTGACAGCCGAGCTCTTCTTCGGAGAGCCTCCTTCTCGCTTGGGCGAGGCTCCGAGCGCACTTGGTGCACCAAGCGCAGCTGCCGAATAAGGTCGAGAGATGTTCAATTCAGGAGCGCTACGTAGATCCAAGCCCAGCTGCCGCAAGTAGGCAGTGTCCATTGCACTACGCAACCTGTGAATCCTGGGCACAAGTCCAGGCAACTGATGCTGCCGAGCAAAACCGCGCGTGTTTGAACAAGACCGTGCGCTTTTTGTGAGCCGAAAGCTATGGTAAAGCTGACTGCACCTGTCTGAACTCAGATTTCAGACCACGGCATACACAAATGATGGCCACAAAGTGAACTCAAAACTAAGCACAGCATCTTCCAGAAAGGCATTGCCTTTTGAGGGCTGCCGTCAAAGGCTGTCAAGGGAGTAGGGTTTCCACTGGAGAGCCACCTAGGCCAAAGGTTTCAGTCTAGTTACACACATCAGTAAGCTTTAAGGAGAAAGCATCCTGTGCCCAGGCTCTGATGAGATCACAATTGCTTTTAGCTCCACAACTTCTTGGCAGATCGACCACAAGAGCCAGGCCGAATGGCAGAGAAGGAGGCACCGTTGGCACCGAAGATGATCTGCGACAAGGGCACCGTTGGCTCGGTCTTCAGCCAGGGCGAACGGCGGAGACTCGGCGGAGACTCGGCGGAGACGTGGTGTCCAGGAGTAATGTCGCATCCATAAGAATGAAAATGGGGATGGAAGGGATATGATGGGATGAAAAACGACAATGGGAACTCACTGAAGGACGACCTCCAGAGAGTTCCAGGGCCCTGTGCCTGGCCACATCACAAAGAACTGCACAGCACCATCACATGGTTCGAATGTCAAACAAGCTGGTTTTGCCAATAAGCATGTGGCCATCAGCAGGAGCGTTGGACTCTA